ATGTTCTTCAATTGAAGGAATGCGGCCTTCGCTTTGCTCCAGGCAATCACATCTCCAAAAAAATTGTATCTCGTCTCTTGAAAATGAGTATTGATGACGGAGTTTGTAAAGATTATTCAATTTTATGTACAAGTTAAGCGATACACGCTAATCAATAGCCCGATATTTAGATAATTTTGTTATCGAATGCCTTCTACTTTACTATCGTTGTCAATGAATAATGTAAATAACGAAACTAAATATCTTGAGCGTACAGTTCGAACTTATTCAAGCAAATGTTTAGAAGGTGATTTCATTGTGAAATACATAATGTGAATTGTCACGATCATGTAATCATTTTGATGAATGTTCAATAATTTGGACTTGTCAAAGCATATATAATTAGATTGTTATGTTAATCAAATACCAGGCTATAAATTAAAACAATAATTGTTTTTAATTTCAATCTCCGAGACTTTTACAAACATTGTTTCATTTTCGAAATCTTTCATAAACATGGTCCAAAGCTCGTAAAGAAAGGTTTAATACACTTAAATAAATATCAATTAACCTAACAATTATCTAACGGTATAAGGCAAATGAGAAAGTTGGTTCACAGCTAACGATGGTAAAAGGCAGTGTATTTTAGGACACATTGAATTTTTGCTTGAACGTGTCTTCTTCATGACATATAGGATTAAATTCAGTACAATATTTGAAGTGAAATATTGATTTTTACATCTCAACTGAGTTATTATCTTATGAAACCGACTGTCGGTTATAATAGTGAATGGTATTTTCAAGGATTCTCTTTATTAGCGTGAGGACAGTCCACGGATGAGCTCGAGGAAGCTTTAAGAAACTCAGAAAGAGCCAAAGATATTCCATTCAATACAAACAAGCAGCGTTCAATCCACAAGACATATCAGTTAGTTTAAATTGTTTACATAAGATTTTATTAGTTATGTAGATTTCTTGTATGTACAAAACAATACCGGTTTTAAGTTCCTTATTATGCTGAACTAATGACTGGTAAGTATGTATAACTAATGGAAGTTGAATAAGTGTCACACTCTTGGGAAATAGATGTTTATAATAAAATAAAAGACATATACAATTATTATGCAAAATGCATTGACGTAATGATAAATAAGCATATGATAAGGGATTCAGTTTATTGTTCAAAATAATAAACGAACATAGTTATCATTTCTTCACAACAAAATATATTGATCCTTAAAGTAACCTTTTTATATATTTGAAGTAATACATACGTACTGTAAAAGTAATACGAAATACTGTCAGTTAAAGGCTATTATCTGATCTAGACAAAGTGGAAAAGTAATATTCCATAAGTATATTATTTAAAGAATCGTTAATTATAAATTTTCTTGAATGAACATTTGTAACATGGTTGTTAAGACAAGAAAACATAAAACGTGTTCTAAAAGTTTGATTAAGGTGATACTACTTTACAGTACAGCAATATTAACGAAATATATAATTTTTTAATTATAAATCATGTAAGAATGGAGTCGTTGTCCATTGAGAACTGAGCATTGTTCAAGATGCTACTTTCCATACGATTACTTGCTAGAAGTATTGGACTAATTTGTCGCTCTATCACTCAGGATCATGCTTTGAAATCTAATAAATTTGAACGACACCAGCTGTTCAGAGAACCCTGAAACCTGAATCTTAACCATCGTCCAAAACTATGTTCAAACTGATTATAATTTGTATCAGAGGGGGTTTTGTGGAGATTGCAGTAATTTTAATAGTTGAGATCATGAGTCAGTTGAAGCTGGACCACCATGGTAAACCTGGAAGCACTGGATGGCCGTTTCGTCCTATTGTGGTTAAGGGCCTGACACGAGACTGATAAGTCCTGTGTTCAACTACCGCGGGGAGCGGGATCGTGGATGCATACTGCTGAGGAGTCCTACAATAATACGAAACGGCTATCCAGTGCTTCCAGGTTTTCCATGGTGGTCTAGCTTCATTTGACTCATGTTCTAATTTATTGTGATTATAATTTACCAACGTTCACAAGTTGAAAATCGATCACAAACAAAACATATTTTAATTCAGACATTTTATGATCATTCCAAACGAGAAAAAAAACAACTAACGAGCTGTAGAGAAATTACGGAGAAACATTTCCATGCTTCATGAACTCTTCGATTTTATCATCCAAAAAAAATTAAAATGTTTTAACAAACATTCATTGTATATGGTTCTCTTTTCAAATTCATTTATGATTGTAACTGATTTTATCGTGAATGTGAATGACAGCACACTGTCCAGAGAATTTTTATCAGAAGGGGTTTTGTGGCGATTGATTGAAATCATGAGTGAAATCATGAAGACAATGGTGTACGTTGGCGCAACTACGGGGATTGGTTGAAGTTAGACATTAACACCGTTGGATGACGGCCAGCTCATTGATCTAGTTGGTTAAGCGCCTGGCGCAAGACTGATAGGTCCTGGGTTCAAATCTCTTGGGATGCAGGGTCATGGATGCGCACTGTTATGTAGTTCCATACTAGGACGAAACGGCCGTCCTGGGCTTCCAGGATTTCCATGGTGATCTAGCTTCAATTGACTCATGATTTCAATCAGCAAAGAATTTTTGTTTGTTTGGGTAAAACAAAAAGGACACTGAAACAATATTAAATCTTATTCTCATGAACATATTCAAATACATAGATTGTGAAAATCTTACTTATAAACATTGCTTTCTACTGAAAACGAGAATTCAATAAAATAATAATGTTTATATATTGCTCCATATGTCATAATTCGAATTGGGGTTTTTCTTTAAAAATCGACGCTTTATGTAAAGGTATCTAATATAAAGACACAATAAACAAATTTCAGATTTCATAATAATGTTTCTGAGATGGTGGAGAAGATTTGTAGCTCAGGTGGATGATTTTGATGGAGTTTTGTACCCTGAACTGGATGATTTGGTCTTCGAGTTTTCATCGTTCTTCTGAACAACATCATCAGTACAAATTTCAAGTACAAGTGAAGTATTTGAAATTCTTCACATGTGGTTTACAGCTTTTCCTGTACACCTTAATGTTGATGGGAGATACAACCAAAATAAAGAAGTGAACAATGACAATTTTAAGGTCAACAAGAATCAATCAACATCGAGGTGTACAGAACATGCTGTGAACCACATGTGGAGAAATTCGAACACCTTATTTCTACTTGAAGTTTGTGCTGATGGTGTTGTTCAGAAGAACGATGAAAGCTCCACGACAAAACCATTCAGCTCAAAGAACAAAACTCCATCGTTCATTTTCGGATTGATCTGTTCGTCTATCTAATGTTTACTGGAAAAACAAAGATTTTTCATAGAAGGGTTTTGACTCACTTAACCTTTCCTTTTTTTAATATGTCAGAATACTCAGATTATACAACCATTACATTTTAGTTTCCAAAAGTCGAGAAAAATAATATGTATTGAAAATCAAATGGAAATTATTTCTAAAACTAAGAATCTTAATAGATTACCGTCCCTAGTTTCATATTATATTTATGAAATATATACCAAGTAAAAAAACGCCAGTTTCATTTTAAGGAAGCAAACTTTGATTATCTGAAACAATTGTCAGTAATAAAGTACCATCGGTATTCTGAAAACATGCCATCCGTATACTTTATATGACCAAATAAATGAAATAACTTTCGTTTTAAAAATATTTCCGAACATACCGCATATTACATCTTTCCATCAGCTAAGAACAAACATTGTTATTTATGTTTCTATGATCATACTTTAATATATTTCTTTAAGAAACTTTAACATTTTCCAATATATACTTAATGACCACCATCCAAAAGTTTCCCTTTGATAGTTTACATAAATACGGTTGAAATCGGTGTTTTATTCTTAGTGAGCTTACTAAAACTATCATAGGTTATAAATACATTATCAGTGTCAATTACCGGTGGCATTATAATTTACATGAATGCGATTATCTCTTTTTAAAACGTTTTGTTTTTGTTGAAATGAGGTTTTACCGTGAATAATAATATTTTATATCCTTACCAAATATTTTGTTTTTTACCCTAAAAAGCATGAAAGTTTTATGAAACAACAGGTCAGAAGTTAGTAATCGCTAAACATAATTTAATATCTACGAATTTAGTTTGATAATCTAAAGTACTATTTTAAGTGTTACTATTCGGTATATCTTCTAGAAGTACATTTGAAGATACTGCATGATCATGCCATCTCCAGTTTCTTGCATGATGGTAAATCAGTTGATGAGGTTGTAAATCTTCATCGATTGAGATGGTTGGGTCACGTGTTACGTATGCCTGAATATCGATTACCACGACGCGCAATGCTTAATAGTGTTGGAGATGGTTGGAAGAAAGTTAGGGGCGACCAAGCTTGAAGTCACTAACTTTTAGTCTGAGCTATGTTGGTAGATGCAGACGACCTGGTTAGGGTCCACGCAGCGATCGTAACCAATGGTTGGAGACATTGGGTGGCATGGATCAGAATCAATCACATCAAAATGATTATTTTTGATATATGCCATTTTATGTACTGAGAGTATCATATACATTATTTCAAAATAAGATGGTGGTTGAAGGTAGTCAACAGGAAACCCCGAACCCGGGTTTCGTGCCACTTGGCACTCGTCAGCAAGGTGTACCTGTAATCTTGAGGGAACTGATGATCCGTGATGAATTCGATCCCCTGTCACCCAGCTTCACAGTCAGAGAAGTTACCACTGAAAACGATTCATCACAACATGATTTTTTTTACTTGTTTTGACTAGTAAAATGTGTTCATTATGAAAAAGAGAGAATACGTGACCATCCATTAAATTATCGTGTAAGACCAATTCTAATTTCATGATATATATTTTTATATTACTGTATCTTCAAAATTCAAATGCTTACAATCTTTTGCAAATATTATTAGGTGATGCTTGATTTTTTGGCAACTATACACAGAAAACAAGTTGGATTAACCAGACAAAAATATTTTCACAATGAACATTAATGAAGCAGACTCGAATTATCAATTATTTTACGGTTTCAATGATCCAGAAGGACAAAATATAGCACTATCCGCTACTAGTATGATTAAACCAATTCCAAATGAGAAAGAATTGTTTCTTTTTGACAAAACATCACGTACAACTGGATATGGTGGATTAGTCTCTGCGAGACAGTTACATTTTATCTGTGGACCTTATCCAGAGTCAATAATTGATGAAAATGTAATATTTGACAAGATTATACAAACGATTATTTTGCCCATCTTATTAATTATGTTGATTTTATTCAACAGTTTATCACTTGCTGTTTTAACTAGACCTACTATGAAAACACCTGTGTTTACCGTATTATTAGGTATTACAATGGTGGAAATGTCCAATGGTTTGTTACCTTTACCAATGTATTTACTCAGAGCATTTTATAGTGATCCTGTTTGGTGGGAGTATAAAAAATATACATCATATAATTTAACACAAATTTCAAAATGGTGGAAATATGCTCCATTAGAAATTTATCAAACAAGTTCAAATCCTACAGCAAGTGGAATACTTGCATGGACTACAGTATTTTTACCAACTGTTTGTCATACAACAGCTACATGGTTAACATTATTTGTTGCATTACAACGACTTATTTACATTACATATCCTAATAAAGCTACAAAATTATTTTCTATACTTACTGTACGTTTAGTTTGTATCAGTGTATTATTATGTGCATTAATTTTACATATTCCAATGTTTCAATCAAATTTTGTTCGATTTCAACCACTTCTTCTACATCAAAATGTTATTTTTAGAAATTATTCCATTGATTTTAAACAATTATTATTATATGAAGCATTAGATTATTTACCATATGTTGTCATGAAATGTCATACATGTTTACCTATTCATATGTTTCTATATTTTTTAACTCGTGTCATACTTGTACATTTATTACCTTGTATATTATTAATTATATTAACCATAATAATCATTATGAAAATGAGACAAATTAATAGAAAACATTTATGGCTTACACGTGGTAAATTATTATTACAATATTCTAAAACATTATCTACATATAAACAAACCAAATCTTATTCATTACCTATTACTTCTTATAAACATAGTTTATCACCAGAAACAACGAATATTTCAAAACAAGATCAAATCATTGATCATAAAGTTCAAATAAATTGAATTGTTTCACTTGTTTGATAAACGACAAAACAGATACACTCTATAGTAGTAATCAAGAGTTTCATAATATTCAATCTAAAAATTCTACATTATCAGTATTATTTAATGGTAATGTTAATAATGATGAAACAATTCAAGAGAATGATACTTTTATAAATTTAATAAAACGTAAATCACAAGTGACTGAATTTTTTAATATTTCCAATATGTTAATAGTAATATTAATTAAATTTATTTTAATTCATTTACCTAATGCATTAGTGATATTTGTATATACATTAACATTAATACAAAATAGAATATATGAATTGACTACTAATTATAATGATATTATAAGTAGTTCTACGAGTAATATCAAAGAAACTATAACCATTTTCAAAAATACAAATCAATCAATATTATTACCTTATACAGTAATGAAATATGTAAATCAATTACATAATACAAATACAATGATCTATATTGATGAAGGACCTACAAATGTATTATGGATAAGAATTGTAATCATCTGTAATCTTTTAATATTATGTTCATATTTATTAAATTTTTTAATATTTTGGACAATGTCAACACCATTTCGAACACAATTTCTAAATTTATTTCGATGTAAATCATGGAGAAATGATAATGTTAATGCTTAAACGAAATTGACCATTGTGGCTTTGTTGATGCTTGTATTCATGTCTATATATGTTAATATCAAAATTCTGCTCTAAAAAAAAGCGTTAGTTTATATAACAAGTGAATATTATAGAAAAAAAATTATTTCAATAATCTAAGTAAACAACTTGTGTAAATATGTTGATTTATCGCTTTGATGTAGGTGATCTTTTTTTAGTTATCCTACTTTATATCAAAGAATTCAATTAACCAAGTCACTATTGATTCAATTTGTTTACCTTTTGAAGAATATACTACATTTCTAGGCAATAATATTCATAATCGAAACGTATTATTTATATTTCCTTGATAAAGCTTGAACCGAATTGCTAGACGAAAAGTGGGGTTAACTTCAAATTCTTTCGTTAGGATTTTACAAATACATTCTTCACTGGTTGAAATCATGAGTCAATTGAAGTTAGACCACCATGGAAATCTTGGAAGCACTGAACGGCCGTTTCGTCCTAATACTACTCAGCAGTGCGTATTCACGATCCCGCACCCCACGAGATTCCAACCCAGGACCTATCCGGCTTGCGCCAGGCGCCTAACCAACTAGGCCAATGAGCTGGCCGTCATCCAACGGTGTTAATGTCTAATTTCAACCAATTGACGAAGTTGCGCCAGCGTACCCTATTGTCTTAAGTGAGTTGATATCTCACAACAGACTTGGTTGGACTCCACTGGTCACGGCTTCTCACTAGAACGCCAGGAGTATCTCTTGAATTCAATCACTAGTGACAAGATGATTATTATCAGGGGAGGGGGTTGTGGAGATTTCGGAAATTTCATTGATAAAAATCATGAGTCAATTAAAGCTACATTCATACATTCTTCCTCTTTAATGTATTAGTATAACATTTAGAAGCTTAGTTTTGCAAACTCAAAGTTTTCCAGACAAAAATTCATCTGATATTCCAGAGGGGTTTTTGTGGATACTATAGTAATTGCAACGGTTGGGATCATGAGTCAATTGAAGCCAGACCACCATGAAAAACCCGAAAGTACTAGACGGCTGCTTTTTCTTATAGTAGAACTCCTAGTCAGTGACCAGTGGAGTTGAACAGGGTTTGTTGTGAGATAGTAAATCACTGAAGACATTGGTAGATATGTCACTCAGTTTCGTGGATTGGTTGAGGTTAGACATTAACACCATTGGATGCCGGTTCAGTGGTCAAGTTGTTAAGCACATGCGCGCGAGACTGGTGGGTCCTGGGTTCGAATCCCGCGTGGCAGGATCGTGGGTGCGCACTGCTGAGGAGTCCCACAGTAGGACGAAACGGACGTCTATTATGATCTAGCTTCAATTGACTCATGATCTCAACCATTGAAATTACTCTGATATTTGCTATTTGCTAACTAAAATGTAAGAAAGTTATTTGAACTATTTATTATGATGTGTATATTCTCAGGAGTGAATCACACGTCTTCACAAATTAACAGTAAGAATTAAGTGAGTATAATTAGCTGACGATTATTAACTAGTATTCATGGGGAATATAACACTATGATCGTGAAACTATTTAGAAATACTTCAGACAAATAAGTAATTTAGTAATATGTAGTATTACGAAAAGATTGTCTCTAAATTTAAATGGTAGATCTCTGTTTATCACATTATCCCTAATGAACACTTGAAGCTGAATATCAACATAAAGTTAAACATGAAACCTATTGTATAGTACATCAGTCATTAAAGCTCAGCGTTGGTCAAATGCATCTACTGATCAGTAGTTATTTCTTCTGAATTTGTATCAATGAATTAGCATATCTATCATTCCGTTTTTTATTTAAAAATATGAAAATAACTACCCTATTTCATATATTACATCAATATGATCAGTTGTCTTTTAACATAGATTATCTTTTCATTAAATAAGACATTCAATGAGACAATTGTCATAATACTGTACCATTTAAATTATTTTTTGTTTAACTCAGGAGGTTAGATATGCTAATATCAATTAAAACAAAACACATGTCTTTCATAAACTTATGTAATAATAATTTGATCTGATATTAAAGTTATGTCCTCATAAAAGTTTCACGTCATAATGGACTACTTCTGACACTAGATAGCCGTAGAAGATTGGTTTATGTTAAGTGGTTGCTAGAAAAATAGTTATTTTACCAGTTACATGGACATACTAAGGAATAAAATGAGTTTTATCAAATGTTTGGTATTACTAGCTGTCATTTATAGTAGGATTATTTACTTGATTAGCATCAAATCGTTTTAACCAACTTTGAATTATGCTGTCCGCCAATTCAAATGTACATCTGCCTATGCATTAATATTTGAAACATTACAATAAAAGGATAACTTTACTGTCGACAATATAGGCTTTAAATAATCCATTAACTAATCATAAACACAAAACAGAAAAATTATAAAGAAATTTGAAAGTTTAAAAATTTTCTAAGTAACTCAAGCTAAATAAATTTGTAGAGAATAAGTGTCTGAACGATCGCGAAAAAAAAAGAAACACTTTCTTGGCGGACTATTCACATTTGTAACAAGAAAATGCTCACTGAATTCATTTAGTTTAGTTGAAGTTTATTCATATTATAGTCGAATAATGTTCATAACACTAGTAATCATAGAAACTTCAATTTTCTTCTAAAGAAACTTACTTTCCGAAATTTGTATTAAGCGTGAAGTTACAATATAGATATGAAATATCTGTATATTGCGTGTAACCAATTTCATTTTTAAACGTACAGAACATCATTTGTTTCATAAAATATTTTTTGAAAGAACGTTGTTGCTGATATGATGAAAAGAAAAGTCAATTTTCGATTAGTTTACTCACTATGAGTTTTGTTCAAGATTACTTCCGTTCGATTCAATGTAATGATTACTCAATGTAGTATTTGTTTCCTTTTCTCGTATGATATTTTATTCTGTATAATATACGATATTCTTGTATTCCATTGACATAAACTATGCTCACTATGTGATTTGTTATAACTCTAAGTAATTTCCATATATGTGATTTCATCCTAATTATTAATCAAAAATGGGCGTACAATCAATATATAAATGTGTGTATTATCTACTAGAGTTGTCGTCGTCGACGTGTTTTGGGGGTTAATAAATCTTCACTTATACTCGTCTTTGTGTTCTTACTTTCGCATCGTGGGAATTGCAGAGGTCCCTCGTTTCGAGTATAAGTGATAAGTGTTTCCGACATAACAATCAGCGATGACCAGATACTGAAAAGTAGCATTAAAAGAGCCAAGACAATAAGTATTCAAACGACATGTTATAACAATTACATCATAAGATAGCTAAAAGGTATAATAGATTAAGTTGTGTTTCAGAATAATTTTAACAATCAATTTGACAAAGATTCATTAATAGATTCATTTTCAAGTTTCCTTAGTTTTGAATAAACGAAACAATTGAATCGATATTCTTTTGAAAAAGATAGTATTGTTGTTTTGTAAATTAGTAATTCTTTAGAAGTAAGATTACATTTTACGGATGAACTATATTCGAACCTCCATAAATCTCACCTCTTTGAAAGAACAGATTTCTTTGAAGAACTGCACTTGTCAAAAATTCTTTATTGGCAAAAATACTACAAGTATGCCAGTTATGCAATGTGTAATTGTCAAGTATTAGTATATTTTTCTGTGACTAAGTTTCAAAGTAGTTCTGTGGTGTGTGCAACTTATATTGATATAAGTAGTATATTATGCGAGTCACGAATGAAATGTCTGGCAGCAGATGAGGGAAGATCAAGAAAGCAAGAGCGGGAATAGAATGCAATTTGTATGAAAATGTAAGAACAATGAAGTCTGAGGCATTTTGAGACAATTAGTGGACAGTTTGTAAATTAACAATTTAATATATGGTTCTCAGATTTTATTGAGATGCTCTGTTATGTTGAGTTTAAGGTATTCGACTGTCCCCACCCGTGTTCTGTTCACTGCAGGTCCACTTGCTAAAATGATAGCTTTTATTCTGGATGATATATTGGATCGGACTTGTCAAGATACTGCAATATTTATTTCAAATCAACCGGCCATTGAAAAATTCGTCAAAAAAACACATAAATGACATAAAAGCTTTAAGAGAATGTGACAAACTATAAACATTTCTTCAAAACAATGGTTCACAGAAAATAAAACTAAAGAGCTCATAAATTTTCAAAGACACATTTGATTATCGTTGATCGCAAAATTTATCAGCTCACTTTTACTCGAATTATCAACAAAGTGACTTCAAAATTTCTCACTATTAAAAATATCATCATTAAAATGCTCACATCTTACATGCGTACTTAATTACGCCTGTTGGTCCTCGTCGAGGAGCATAAGCTGCCCACCAGCACTCGCCATCCAACCCTGTCATGGGCAATCCTCTCCAGCTCTTTCCACTTGTTATTCATCCTTTTCATATCTGCTTCTATTTCCCGAGGTAATGTGTTCTTTAGCCTTCTTCTTATCCGCTTCACATCACGATTCCAGGTTAGGGCTTGACTCGTGATGAGGTTTGATGATTTGTGTAATGTATGTCCTATCCGTTTCCATCGTTTATCCTAGACTTTACATTTGCATGCGGTCCACCACGTTCACCGATGATGCTTCCCAGGAACGTGAAGGATTTCACATCTACCAGAGTTTCGCCATCAAGTGTGATTGAGTTAATGTTCTTTGTTATATTTGACCATCTTGATTTCCCTTTGTGTATGTTGAGGTCTACTGATACATGGGCTGCTGCTACACTAGTTGTCTTCATCTGTATTTATTCGTGTGTATGAAATAAGAGGGCTAGGTCATCTGCAAGGTACAGATTGTCTACTTGATTCTGAGCTGTCCAAAGTCGACCTCTCGACCGAGAATTGAACCCGGGCATTCTACGTGACAGACGGAGATACTCACCACAATACTCCGCCTGTAGCTCTTCTAGACGTACTACTAGTCTCAACCCCGGGTAAAAGAGAAGGATTATGAATGAGGTCAGCAACCCCAT